CATGATGATGTCCACCCCGCAGACCCTAGACCTCAGCTCACCGTGATGGTAGCTGAGATTATGGTAGAAGGCCCGTACATGCAGCTCAGAATATGAACACGACAGTTCAGCCAAGGTCCTAAGATGTGATTCCTCCAACCACCTCACAATGTTAAAACCGTCTTGTTCAAAAAAGGTTGTATCAAGTGATTTGGCCCCACAAATCGGTCGGTTAACAAAGTCACGGACAAAAGATTCATGAACCACCGGGTCATTCTCGAACAAGTATCCGAATGAGAGGTCCACAGCAGCGGGGTCTTCCTCTTGTAGCCTTGACGAAGACGGATGGTCTTGTCGTAGCTTTTGTCGTCTCTCATTTCCAGTGCTAGACGATTTTCTACGGCCAGCCATGAGAACAACTGTACCTACAATGCAAGTGGAAACAAAAATCAATGAACAATAACAATATCAAAAAATTTAAAATTCAATATAAAAAACAAAACCTAATCCTAAAATAAAACAGAAATTAGAAACTCAATCCCTAACCCTAAAACAGAAACAAAAACCCTAACCCTCAACCCTAACCCTAACCCTAACCCTACACCCTAAAACAAAACACAAAAACCCATTCCTAACCCTAAACACTACAACCCAACCAAAACAGCAACGTAAACCCTAACCCTAACCCTAACCCGCCTAAGGCACCACATCAACCCTAACCCTCACCCTCACAACACACTTAGCACCCTACCCCTAACCTAAATCCACAAAACCGCAAACATAAATCAAATGCATGAAGAAAACCAAAATAAAAACTAAACTTAAAACCAAATGCAAGTCAGAATACGTTACCTAAATGTCGATTTCGCAAGTGTGAACCAAGGAAGCTTCAATCGCACCTTCAAGGGTTGAGATTCGGACTTGGTTGGAGAGAGGGGACGGAATGCAGCCTTTTAGTCGATTAGGGTTTGAAAATAACCCCCTTTGCGAAATGGGGGGTTTTTAAAAAACCTGATCTGCGACATTTAGTCGACTAAATAATGTGCTTAGTCGACTAAAAGTGCAAACAATTTAGTCGATTAAGATGAGTTTTTAGTCGACTAAAATTCGCGTTTCATAATTTCTGAGTTTAGCCCATTTAGTCGATTAAAAGTGCAACATAATCGACTAAATGGGGGCAGGATGGTGGATAGTTCTGGGGGAGGGGCAAATTGATTATTAATTATTTAATTAGGGGCAAAAGGGTCAAAAACCCTATATATATATATATATATATATAAGTGTCAATCTCTCAATGGAAGGAGCACATGAAAGTAGGACCACTAAAATTTTTTCCCTTTGTGAGGAGAGATCTTTTATAAACTTCTGGGATTGATCTTTGGTTTGGAAATTGAAAAATTGAACTCTACCAAGAAAGAATGATTGATTAATTAGCCCCCATTGCATGCCGATGCATTCTTGACCATTTAGTTTTCGAGGAAAATCTCAAGCTTCTCGAAATGAAATTTTTTCATTGATAGCTTCCGCAACTCTATTTAACACAATCGTATTAATCATATTGAAGTTTATCGGAATTTTATCAAAAATTACAAATGCTGTGTCAAACGGAAATTCTAAAAGCTCACTTGTGAAGTTTGGTATCAGACGTCTTCTCACACGCTCGATGAAGAGTATATTTAAGTCCAGTGAGATATCTTCTATATTTAAAATAGGTGATTTATATTATTTTTTCTGATTCGTAAGAAATAATATGGTTAACAAATTGATATGTTGGTAGTTGTTAAAATATAAGAAAAAAAAATCGAAATACCATTTTCTTCAGTGCTAAATATGATATTTATATAGAACCAACTACTTGTAAATCATCATCATGCAATGAAATTTAAAAAACGTGTCAACGTCAACCATTACAATTAATGGTTATATTTATGTCATTCAACATAAGGTAAAAAAAATTAAAATATTACATTTTTAGTAAATAATTACGAATAAGTTGATATTTTGAATTTATTTATGTATCTATTGCACTTATTCACGCTTAAATTAGGCATGACTATACTCGCCTAAATTAGGCGTGAATCGTCTGGTGTTGACACGTGACACAAAAAATTAATAGTTTAACCGTAAAACTTCATAAGGCCATAACTTTTAACTCGGGTATCCAAATCACGTAATTCTTTTTTTGATTCCACATAACTTTTTGATATCTACGCAATGACATCTCATTTGATCTATTTTATCTCTCATAAAGTTTAAATTTGCAAAAATAGTAATATAGAGATAGCACCAAAGTAGATTAGTCCATCTAAAGTTTGGAAAAGTCCGTGATACAAAACAAAGGTTGAGTCTTTATGGCTGGATTCGTTGGAAGCTTATGAATGGTTTTCAAAAATAAAATTTTTCTTCCTTAAAGATTTAGAATATTTATTTAATTATTTCCTTTATTAATATAGATCTTTCAAATTGGTTTTTGAATTTAAATCACAATCAAATCTTTATTTTGTTTTCCTTATAATAATAATTTTTTAATTTTTTTAATTTAAATCACAAACCAAATCTTTATTTATTTTTTATATTAAATTAGGCGTGAATGCCTTAGGAGTCACGCCTAATTTGGACGTGAATAAGTGCAATAGATCCGTAAATAGTTTCGAAACAGCTGTGTATTCGTAATTATTTATTGAAATAGTAATATTTTAATTATTTTGCCTGATAAAGCAAAGGTGGGTCCCACCTCTATTTTTTTCTCTCCAATTATTTGTGGGTCTCTCTTATAATTTTATTTCACTAACATAAGATAACTATCTCCAATAACATAAGAAAAACATTTCTCGTAATTATAACGTGTAATTTGCCTGAACTCTTCATTAGATATTTTGCTTACATTTTCAGAAGCTGGCGGAGTCATATTGGGACTAGCTATAGTTTTTAACTTTTCGGAATTTGGCATGGGTAGAAACTAAAATAAAAGGATGTCATAGGCTAAATTTTTTGGCATGGGCTAACATTTTTTGCTCGCTTCGCCACTGATTTAAACTGTTCAAATCAAATGAACGAAGTATAAGGAATATATTCTTTAGCTTTTTGGGACAGAACATAATTTTGAGCTTGTTATAGACCTACGCAAGACTCATATATCTAAAGGCTCAACAAAGAACAATTGCAAGAAGACATTTGGGTTTATAAATAGAAGGCCCAGAATTCATATATGTAATATCCCGGGCGTTGACGAGGACGAGGAGTGATCGCCGGTGCGAAAGGGTATGGACAAGGAGCGGCTCCTGGCAGGCTTCCAGCGACGGGGGTACATGAATGAATCAAATCAACACCCGAAAGAGAGGGATTCCAGAGACTGAGCTGGTATAGGACAGTACAGTTGGGAATGACTTATAAGAATTAATTGGTACTACCTATACTAACAAGATGCATCTGCTTTTCGGTAGCCCGGAACGGAAGAAATCCACAGTTAAGCGTGCTTGACTTGGAGTAATTCTGGGATGGGTGACCTCCTGAGAAGTGTAACATCCCGAGCGCTGACGAGGGCGGGGAGTGATTGCCGGTGCGAAAGGGCATGGACAAGGAGCAGCTTCTGACAGGCTTCCAGCGGGGGGTTACATGCATGAATGACTCGAATCGACACCCGAAAGAGAGGGATTCCAAAGACTGTGCAGGTATGAGACTACACAGCTTGAGATAGCTTATAAGAATTAATTGGGACTACCTATACTAACAAGATACATCTTTTTTTCGGTACCCTGGAACGGAAGAACTCCATAGTTAAGCGTGCTTGACTTGGAGCAATTCTGGGATGGGTGACCTCCTGGGAAGTTTTCGCGGGAAGTGTGCGAGTGAGGAAAAAGTACACTGAAAAGTCTCGTGTTAGTATGTGGGGATAGTCGTTGATTCTTGAAGCGGCCGGACGTTACAAGAAGTTTTTTTGAGAAGTGTGCGAGTGAGGACAAAGCACGCTGAAAAGTCTCGTGTTAGTGTGTGGGGACATCTTTGGAAGTTGTCAGGCGTTACAATATACCCACATGTAAAATTCTATAAATAGAAGGTAAAGCATATAGGTATAACCTAATCTCTCTCGAACAGATATATTGTCATTGTACACACACTATCGCTTTGTCTAACGTAGTTATCAATTATATACAGTGATCCGTCGTCTTAAGGTATTTACTTCATAAATATCTTAGAGAGGGAACTCGATCCAATGTCGATCTACTAGGCTAGGACTAAACATCTCTATCATCCCCACAGAACAGAGGTAATAAAGGACAGAGCTCTCATGTTGCTGCACTGTTTAATAATTAGACTATTTGCTCTGTGCTTAATACTCTGCACTTTTGCAAGGCTTTTGACTTTCTCCTTTATGCGTTTTCTCAATTCACCAAGGCACTTGATACGAAGTCTCAATTATAAAGATAAGGTCATACAATAGCTTACTTGGCCAACTCTACATGCATGCAACATTCAATTATAATGGACCAGTTTTGCTTGTTTAGACCCCTGACTTTATTAGAAGAAGATATCCTTCTGCCAAATATTGATAGGATTAGGAGAGTAACAAACGAACAATTTAGAAACTGCTGGCAAAAGCAGTACTGCTTCATGTGTTGATATAAATTATTAGTAACCACATGTTCTTGCACCATTTTCCCCCCCATTAATTCGTGTGATTGTCTTACCAATTTTATTTTATTTTTTTAATGCGTTATAATGTTGAGGCACGAATAATGCACTATTTAAGGTAATACAAATAATAATTGTATATAAATATGCAGTTGTAAACTTCTGCTTGTTAAAGCTAATACAAGACTATATCGAACCACAGTATTTCAATCTACTAGTTTCCTTTATTTCCCTCATTTTTTTGAGGGAACTGGAGCTTCCTTCTGACCACAACACTTTATACTTCAGATTCTTAGATCATTATCACTAAACACACTAGGAAATACCATAATACATGAAACAGTATTGTGACTAAATGAGCATGTTTTGCTCATCTTATTTTCTAACTTTTAGTTAGCTTTGTGACAGTTAGAACGAATCTCGCCACTTTTCCCTGTTAAAGGGCTAAGGTTTCCCATTTTCACCATAGCACTAGCAAAGTCTGCATAGAAACTTTGAGGGTTGTTGCTATAGGTAGTGACCATAGAGTCCGTAGAACCACCACTGAATAACTGCTGATCTGAATGTAGAAGTCCTTTTTGTTTAACTAGATTCGTGAAATAAGCATTGTCGAATATAACACTGGTTGTGACATCAAGTGGGGAAAGGTTGCTGTCACCACCAGTGCTTGGACAGTTTGACTTTAGTGATGTTGCAAAATTTGACTCAATGATGGTTTCATTATAAATCCTGCCTCGGAAAAACTGACATTTGGCTTGCCCTGTTGTGTGAGCACCTATACATGAAAATTTGAAAGAGAAAAAAATTAAGATAACACAAGATTCACCTGTGTTAATGTTGACATGATCTTACCTATATGAGGGTACATAGTTAAATTAATTAGCCAGAGACCAGTTAAAATAATTGAGTAGTTAATTTGGTGAGATCTTTTAATGTAGTTCTAAGTTACCTGAGAGTGCAACCATCTCCTTGGTGTTAAACCCCTTATTTGCAAAAGCAGATATAAGGGCACTAAGATCCATTAGTGGGGATGGGATATCCTTAGTGGCAGCATCTTTACTTGCTGTGGTTGAATCTCTTCTGCCTAACCCAACATTCCATGATGGACCTCCCAACTGAGATATGAAGAACAAATATACCACTCAATTGAAGTTATAAATTAAGGAAGGCGTGGCTGAGGTAGGTATAAGTTAAGTCATAAAAATTGTATTTATTACTTATCATATTATTTACAGAAAAAAGAATATGAAATTATTTTATCTATATTTAAGATATGAATTTTCTGCATCAAAATTTCAACATAAGACAACAGTTCTCTCAACATCTTATATCTAAAAGTTGTTTCTGTTCTATAGAATACAGGAGACATGTTCTATAAGATTAGTGTAACTTTTTAAGCTAACAAATATACATATCATTATAATATTATCTTGTTTATTATTTTGGATTTTATCTGTTCATATTTATTATGGTATTAAACTTACTGCAGCAACGGAATCACGGGCAGCAATAGCTAGAATATCTGCACAAGAAACAACTCCAGGACAAGCAGCCTCCACTTTAGTTTTAATGTCATCAATTACATCAAAACCTCTAAGAGAATTCACATTTGCACCAGCTGACTTCTCTCCAGTAAAGGTCGAAGTGTCATCTAATAGAACAGATGCATCACATCCCTACAAAGTTGTATCCGTGAGTACAAATTAACAATCAACAAAGATACAATAGTTTTTTTTCTTTTCTTTCCTTGATGCTTCTAAGTGCATTGAAATGCATGCTAGCTAGCTATATAAGATGTAAAGAAATATTTTTAGCTCATGTAGAAGTTTAAGCTCATTTTTTTGGGAGTTTAAGCATCCCCTTGAATAGCCAAAACAATTCAAAGATCCATAGGAATGCGTAAAAATACATTCAAATGCATGTCAGGTTAGACCCGAAAATAATGCAATTAATATATATAGGGAAAAATTATACTTATCATCATTTTAGCCTTACCACTCTTATTACCTGTTTGATTATCGTTGGATCAATTTGAAATCAACGGTAGTTTATTTTTTCTCTTTTTCAAATATTGATTTGATATTGATCCAACGATAACCAAACAGATAATAAGAGTGGTAAGCCAAATTGATCCAACGGTAACAGATGATAAGAATGGTAAGCCTAAAATGGTAGTAAGTATAAATGACCCACATATGAGACTGTTAAAATGATGAGTTTAGTGTGTATCATTTAAAAAGACACAAGTTGTGTCCTTTTAGTGACTTACACAGAGTATGACCGGTCATACTCTGTGTAACTCTGAAAAGTTGCTTTTTTTCACTTTACACAGCAGCAATGTGACTGAGGAGAGAAAAAAAAAACTTTTTAGATTTACACAAAGTATGACCGGTCATCTAAAAGACACTTGTGTCCTTTTAAATAATACTTCTTTCCCTAAAATATAGTTTATGAAAAAAGAAGTTCTGATAAAAATGTTTATTTATTAATTTATGCATGAGATTGAAAATGAGAGAGATGAAGGAAGGAAGAGAAGCGTGCATTGACAAAGCAATCATGGAAATGAAGACGGAGCAAGGATGCCCCCATGCGATGCTCTTTGGAAACTGCACTGATCACTGCGGATCTGATGATAGAGAGGGATTGGGGGCATGTTGTTTCATAGCAATCTGAAGTTAGCTGAGGAGAGGCTATGGCAAACAGGGAAAACAAAATGGAGAAGCAATATATGTGACCACATAAGTGAAAAGCCATTGTCTATGTTAAACACGAGAGTTCACCAGCACTGTGAAGTAAGTCAAGTAGTTAACAATGCACTTGTGAAGGAAACACTGCTCCTCAAACTTTATTTATAGTGAGGCATGAGCCCTCCATGTTGGACCCGACATGGAGCGATTCTCTATGGTTATGTTCAACTTGTAGTCCATCCAGAAAAGGAAAGACACTACTATGCTCATCATTACTTTTATAGAAGTGGGGAGAATTTCACTTAGTTACGTAATTAAATTTTTGGGTTCGTTTTTTATAAAGTTACTTTAGATCACTTTATATAATGTTCACCGAAACGATGTCGTTTTAGGACAGAAATTATTGTATATTTGTAATTTTAATTTATTTCAGGGTTATAATAATCTTTTTTTTGCAAACAAGGTTATAATAATCTTTATTGTAACACCCTGTTCTATAACCGGTTTGATATTAAACGCAGTTACAATCACATTGATTCATTGGTTCAATTAAGAATACAGATAAATTTTTCTTTTTAAAATGGTGCTCATTTCCTTTATTAATAAGACCGTAATTTAATCTACCAGTTCTAGAACGGAGTGTTACATTTATCATTTTATTTTTTTATTTTTTCAACACTAAAACGACATCATTTAAGTGAACATTAGATAAAATTTTCTAAAGCAACGTTAGATATTTTTTTCTCTAAATTTTTATACACCTGATTATTTTAAATTGGGTAAAATATACTTTCCTTGATTATGATATTCTCAATTACATTATTGTTTGTCTCTTCTATTTTTAAAAATTATACTCTTATTTCATAAGAAAAAATGTCCTATATCTTAATCTATTTCGATGTAAAAAACTTCTCAGTAAGGTAAGCAGAGGTAGTCAAAATTGTTCTTAAATAATAATACATTTTATCTCTTAAAAAGGATGGTGTACGTATGTCAAAAGAAAGAAATGTAATTACCTTTTTAATAAGAAAAAAGATAAATGGAGCAAAATATTTGACAGAAGGAAAACAATACCGAATTTATATGTATGTGGTGGAGCATCGCTGATACATCGTATTAGCTCTATTTTACTTTTCTTATACACATTTGGTTCTGTGCTTTGACAAATACACTTTTGGAACTCCATTATCTCGAGAAGCTAGTTCGGTACAGCACACTCGTATGAGAGCCTAATCTTCACCAATGAATAGTAATTATAAATCCTACCAACTTTGAGTTTTAGTCAAATATTCTTTCACTTTTTCCCTCCTCTTTCTTACGGTTGGACTTTTATGGCCCAGTGCTGGATTAGGTTATAAGTTGTATTAGGTAATTTACTTTCATGGTATATATGATTCAGTGTCATGTTAGGTTTGGTTTTGAACCTTCGTACCAAGGCTACATATGATATTAATTCCTGATCGTTTTACAATTGACTTGATCATGTGATCTTCCTCTACACAAATGGTTTGGAACCGCCTTGGGTTCAAAGCATCTTGCAGTTGGAACAGCTTTAACTCATGGGTTTTGAATGGAACAAGATGGGGTGTACTTGCAAGATGCTCCGACGCTCAAGTCAGATATGGTTCAAGCAGGTTTTAATTATGTAGAAGAAGATGTATACCTTGGGTTAACACATATGTATTTATAGTGGAGAGATGACCAGCTTGCGAGATACCTTTCTTCATGGTGAAGGCAAAGATTTCTCCTTATTGATTCTTGTGGGTGGCTGAGTTTTCTTGGCTGTAAAGTATGTAGAAGAAGTAGCTTGCTGTCATATGACCTTTAATATTGAGGAGCTTTTGCTGAAATAGGTTTTAAGAGATAAAGAAGTGGTAGTAGCCTTTGTTGACTTTCATCTTTCTTAGTGATGAAGGCTTTTAATTTGGGTCTTGATATTACTATTATTCCATATCAATTCTCTTTTTCTTAAATGAGATTTTTAGTATAGCATCTCTTATAACCTAAGGATTCTGTGCATGACATATATTGATAAAGAAGCCATTAATTTTAACTTTAGTTTTGAGAAGTAATATGAATTTTGACTCACCAAAGCTGTCACAAATGTGTTAGTAAAAATGCTATGTCGCCTATATGGTCCATTTATGTCGTCCACAAATTGCTCACTTATTGTAATGATTCATCTAATTTTGGTTCTGGTTTGCAATCATTAACTATTTTTTGTTTTTAGTTTGCCATCAACTGAGCTCATTTTTAGTGCATATTTGAACGAACTCATCAACTGAACCCATTTTCAGTGCATATTAGAACGAACTTTATGATGGAGGAGTTTACAAAAAAATGCATCTTCAGCTTTATGAATTCCTGAGCTCACTCTATGGTAGGGGCTACACATCATCTGGATTGTAGAGAAGAGTTTAGAAGGCTCTCAAAAGAATTTCGCACCAGTTGTATAAGTTTTCAGAACAACAGCAAAAGCAATGACGGGAAGTATATATGATCTATCATATTCCGTATTTCAGTATATGTTAGAACTTTCAAAATGCACACACACACACATATATATATATATATATATATATATATATATATATATATTTGACGAATCAAAATTATATAACTGATTATTAAAATGCTACGAGTATCTGGTGTTTTTAAGTTGAAAATATGTAGTGCGTTAATAAATTGGGTAATGTTTTCGTTTTCTATGAATTAGGAATCAAAGCAGCACTAGGACTTAAAAGAAAATTTTCCTTTTTATATTTTTGAAGGACTTGAGGATCTTTACTCAAATGTGGACTTCGCACATAGAAATTCCTGAGTTAAGTCTATGTGATTTTAATATTAAAAAATAGGGATATATAAATAATATGTAAATATTGAACAATATTTTATGTGCAGTACGTCACTATATATTGTTTCTTGTTAATAATCCACATTTAATCCAGGAATTTACTACTGTCTCACTCTCTCTTTCTCTTTTTCTTTTTTTCTTTTCATCTCTCGCAGATATTTGTCTGTATAGAAATTTTGTATTTTATTATTGGGTTCAGTGTCTATCATTTTAAAGAATGTAAATTGTGTCTTTTTAATTTTTTTACTCTATATACTCCCGGTAGTATATAGTTATACATGAAAAATTACTTTTTTATTTTATTTTTCATGTCAGCTGATGTGACTGAGGAGAGAAAAAAAAAACTTTTCATATTATGTACTACGAAAAATACATAGAATAAAAAAATTAAAACGACACAATGCACAAAATAGTTTTCCCTTCATTATTTCATACTACCCACGCACACGTATATATAGAACATAAACTGCGCTGCCAATTAAAAGTTTTATATTAGTCTTAAAATCTATTCATATATCATATGATCAAATGGCATCACATTTGTTTTCTAATTAATAAAAGGGCCGTGATGCCTTTTATTTGATATTAATTTGGGAAGTTTGGAGTGTGAACATGCGATAAAAGGAATCTTAACTAGTCAACAAAATTACTTGAGAAACTTGGAAACCAAGTTCTCTAAATCCGCCGAACCTCATAACGTTCCAAATGTTTCAAATACGACTTCTAAGTGTCTGCTGTCTACATCACAAAATGATGATAATAATAAAAATTCCATCTCGTGTTGCACCTCTTTTTAGTTATCCAAAAAAAAAAAAAAAAATTCCAAAAGTAAACGAAGTGTGTTTAAATATGGTTTGTGAGACGAACTGAGCAGGTGAAAATTGCACCATTAAATCAATTCTAAACCAAGAGATGGACATAAACGTAACCAATTAATTAGCACTTAAGTAGCATTTAGCAGCATATACACCATCTAGCGTTAGACTCTCTTTTGGATAAGGGGTAATATTGATTCTTACCTTCCCCCTTTGATACATACATTAGGCAAAATTCGCAAGGAAGCAGTAGAATTGGGAATAATATATGCAAGAATGCAAGATTACCAACTACAATGCTACTGTATACTAGGATATCAAGATATTTATATCCCAATAATTTGGATCCTTCGTTTATATTTATTTTTATATCATTCATATATATTCGAACCAAAAAATTGCATAACAAACGGTTTAAACTTTTCCCTTAACTGTTTTTTTTTAAAAAAAAAAAAAAAACCTTCTCCCTTTTCCCAAACATTAACTCGTAAGCGAAAATCAACTAATAATATAATTTCTCTCAAACTTTTTCACCGTCCTCTACATTTATTATTAACAATTTACTATTTCCACTTACTATTATTAATTTAAGAACCATGAAAATTCGAAGTTTAACTCCAATATATAAAATATTGAAAATGGTAAGCACTAATCTGATATGATTCTGTAGGTGTTCGCCGGTTTTGAAAACAAGAAATGGTTTTCTTAATCAAGAGTCGATCCAAGAAGGTGTAGTATTTGTTGTCAGGGCAAGCAGCTATCAATTTACAAGACTTGCATCAACTGGTGGGGAGATAATTATTGGGTTGGTGGATTCTATACCGTTTTGACCCCTATACCACAAATTTGACTAAATTGTTCCTTTTTCTCTTATTCATTTGTACCGAAATGTTACTATTTTTTTTTTTTTATATAAAAACGAGTAAGATACTCATGTTGATATATATTTGAAGGGAATTAATTATCTTATATTATATTGCAGATTGAATTGGTTTTTGCTCCAATCACATAAACCAAAGCTCCTGATGATAATATGATATATGATCTGGCAAGATTTTCAAAATTCAAATACTAATATTATGACATAAATAATTGAAGAAAAAGCCAAGTCCGACAAGCCATATTAGAAACATGTTTATGGTGATGTCCGTCCACTACTTTAAAAAAAATAAAAAATAAAATAAAGTAATGAACCCCACTTATACAAATGAGTCAGTAAGAGATAATTATTATCTCCTACTACATAAGAAAACTATTACCCTTTAATTAAAGATAGAAATTGAATTAACTAAAACAACAGCAAAATTGAATGAACACAAATTTCAAAACTTCTTTGTACTCTTCGTCCGGAATCTTGTTTTCATAATCCACCGAGCTTCATGTGGGGATACGGCGGGTTGGATCTACAACGCATCAGTACCCTCTCATAGGTCAAAAGTTTTTGCTCCTGTTTTTTTGAACAAATAAGGTACTCTAAGAAATGAAATCATGCATATTTCAAACACCAGGACTAGGCATGGATATAAAACCCTTGATAAATACCGTTGATGTTGGCCTTGTATGGAAGACCAAAAAAAGGAGAAATCACATAGACCATACTCAAAAAAAAATTTACTTCAAAAATCACATCCTTACCGTCCCAGTTTCAAATTTTCATGAGAAAGATAAATCATATTTAAAATTTTCCACGTGCAATCCCATACCTTTTCTGTACAGCCCTGGAAATGATCATTTCAAAAACTCCCAAACAGCAAAACAAGATAAAACGTGGGCCCTTCATGGTCATGAAAAAAAATCTTCGCTGGTTCGGTTAAAAAAGAGTAACAGAACTCTATTTTTATTCATACAAAATTGCAATTAATTCAATTGTCCAAATACAAATGTTATCGGAGATTTCAACGTCTAACACGGCACTCATCTCTATTCCAAGAAGCATATATCATGATATTTTTTTTCTTTTTACCGTGAAACAAAATGGCAGAATGGCGGGGGCTCGCGGCCTCTCCAATATGCCTAATGCCACACATTTGATTATAACACTAGAATACAAACTTCTCTTCCTCCTCAGTAATATTAAGTAATCTATCTCCCATCTCCCGAAGAGCAGCTGCTGTGGAATCATTTATGCCCAACAGATACTGCAAACGAGACAAATTCTCAGGAGTTGGATCACTCTTCAAGTATATGGTGTATAGATCAGCAAGCTCCTCTGGCACTTCCCATGAGAGTATCTGTGAGGGTACTGCTTTGTCACAAGCCAGCAAGTCATTGAGGGAAGAAACCTGCACAAAAGGCAAGAAGCAAGATCACACCTGGCGATTCACAACCACCAAATCTAAAATTCCGTTTGTATAAGTGAAACATGAAGCTTTAGAAAATTACTTACCACTCCCTCACGATTTTTCTGTCTTAATAATGCCACGGCCTGAATGAGTGAGTTAGATAGTCTACTTTGTGCAAGCTCACGAACAACACCTCTTGCTTTCTCCTTATTAATGTTGAGATCAGATGGAATTTTTTCGTATACTTCCTCCTCATCAAACTCTCCAGTACCTGATGAGAAAATATCATCAACAGTCTTTTTGAATAGGGTCTCTCTCAATTTCTCGGATACCATATTGTCTAAATCAACATTGGCTTCCTTAAGTTCCCTTATCTGCTTCATACTGAGCCTCCCTTGAGTTACAGCAGTTTCAATAGCAGCTGCCATTTTTGTAGTGGTTATACTCTTGATTATTTTCTGAGCGTATTCTTGAGGTAAGCCTACTTGCTTCTGCAGGTTATTAAGCTGCTCCACCCTGGCCTTTGTCAACTGTCCATCAGCTAAAATTACCTCAGCTTGTTGCCTAAAAGCTTGCTCGGCTAAACTCCTATGTACTTCTACTATTTCTTTACCACTCAATCCCAGGATCCCTCCAAGCTGATTCAGAAGAACATACTCAGAATCATCCTTCTTTGTAGTGATTTGGGCACCAAATGGAACCCTTGTCACTTCACCAGTTATACAGAAAAGCAAGTATGTTTTGTAAAGATCAGTCCTATCCCTTTCCGGAAGGTCATCTTTAAGAGTAATTTCTGTCTGACCAGGCTTTCCCAACTTTGCCACAAGTTCTTTGTTTGGTCTTATTTTCTTGAGTGTCTGAAGTGAATCCCATTCTTCATCTTCAGTTAGTGTCATGTCTTCTTTCACAGGTTCTTCAGTTGAAACATCAGCCGACTCCCCCTTAATGTCCTCCACCAACTCAGTCACAACTAAGGTGTTGAAAGCTATCATCTTCTTCAGTTCTTTTGCAGACTCTGTACGACTTCCAGCTGCTCGTGCACGTTTTATGTAATTAATAAATATCGTCCTTACCTGAAGTCATAAAAACAGCATAGCAAAATTTAGGCTTATTCAAATCTTCATAAATGAGTATTAAATTTCCTGACAAATGGATACTCACCGCCTTGCTTGCAATAGAAATAGCAGTCTCCCTGGTAAGTCGCAAGCCATGTGCTGCTTTTCTTACTGATTTCTTGACATCAGCATCATATCCATCAACCCCTGATGCAATTGCATCCTTGACAATCTATCAAAGAAGGTGCATGCATTAGAAATGACCCAATAAATTTTTCAGTATGTCTGGCAGAGATTGAAACATACTTAATGGCACAGCAAAATAAAAAGAATAACCCCATTTCTTCACATATCAATGTCATCATCAACTAAGTGTTCTAGAGTTTTCTCTGTAAAACTTGGATGTAAGATAATCAAACCAACAAAACGATTTAATAGTAAGTAGAAACAGGACTACAAATTTAAAAGATGTAACCTTGATAATTTAAAGAATCTCAGACTAATAATCCCAAATGACACATTCTAGAAATTCTTAACAAATTCTATCAAGTGGGCACACTATGACAGATAAGTATCCGAATTCCTCATTATAAGATAGAAAATGCTGGAGAGAGAATCAGGGTCTCCATCTCTATGCTACTAGTAAATGAAAGCATCATTACCAGTTTAATACATTAAAATATAACTTCTCATTCTACCAATATTCAAATAGAAAGAAGAATGAGATTGGCAAAAGAAGGAAGAACCACAAGAGCCCAAACACATCCTAAAACAACAATGCATGGATTGCACCATAAACGAGATTAAGTCACATTATCAGTTTTCATGATGAATGCATGGATTGCACTTCTGCATAGCAGGAAATATATAATTTGACTCCTTCAAACGACCAACAAATTAGATAGGAAAAAAGAAATATAATTACCTTCTCAAATAAACTGCCACATATATCCGAATGAGCTGCTTCAACAGTCTGTTGAGGTATACAGAGCATTACACGCAGCCTCAACAAAGCAGCAACGTCATTCTCATTAAGCTCCCCATCAGCTACACATTGCTGAAGCTTTTGCCGATAAATTTCTTAAAATAACAAACTATTGTTAGATTGTGTTATAATGAAGTAAATAAAACATAAAGAAAGACAACAGTCACACCTTGTAAAAAGCTAACTATCATAACAACTAAGAAAACAGATACATAATTGAATACTATTATTACAAGTTAACAACCTTAAGATTAAGAATCACGTAAATATAAACTTACAGAACATAAAGTTTTTAACAATCCAGGTCTCACATATGGTAAAATTCCAACTGTAAACATGACTAGTTTTACCTTCATGAAGTTCACTGGCCTTTTGTGGATCAAAATGGAGTTCATCGCATAAATTCTGTAGGTATGCTGCCTTGCTATCCGCCATTTCTAACTCACCATCTGAAACTGCCTCTGCAAGTCGTCTACGATACACCTTCGATGTAACATCAAGAGAAATGGCTTCTGCTTCACGTTTACCCAGTCCAAATATATTTTTTAACTGATTTAGTGCAGCAAGCTGAAATGAAATATAAATTGTTAAAAAATAATCTTTTATGTTAAAAACTGAGTGTTTATACAGATCAAGATTCATATCTCATATCAATAACAACTCTCTAATGCGAATGATAACATATATTTTTCAGCACATTGTTGTGTGTCTTTGCTTTCCTTGATGCCAATTCATGAAAGGAAAATTAGAGAACAAATGTGTATCTATATTAAGGGGGAATCTTATGCTTGTACATCTGAACAGTCAACAAAACACCTGACCTAAAAGCTTAAGTTGTTAGTGTTAAGCAAGGAGCCAAGAATTGTTTTATAACACTAAAATGCTCCTATAAGTGAAAATCGAGTAGGCTTGAAACACAGTAAACTACCTTGTACTGAAAATAATATTGTTCTAATTTAAATATTTACGTAGAGATTAAGGGCAATAAAGATTTGGTAGCATGTACCAAACAACCTGTTCAATCAGGCTTTGGTAATATATCAAAAGGAAAGATGAAGCATTATAGACAATAAAGAATGACCAGGAAGGCTAAAAAGCAGGGCTTCAGTCTATATTAACAGTTGAATCTGCAGTCATACTATAATTCCCAGGAAGGCTAAACAGCAAGGCTTCAATCTATATTAATAGTTGAATCTGCACCCGTAGGAAGTGTTGGAAGCCAAATTTGAAGATAAGACTATAAGAAGGCATAGAGCACCAATATCCTATAATGCCATTCAACTAGTCCAAGTATAAATAGCCTCTACATAGTCCCATAAATTTTTCATACAAAATAAATTATTCAACCAAAACATACCTCAGGAAAACACTAACCCAGGCTCAACTTCAAAATATCTTAGTTATTTGAGAAAAGACATGTGAACAAGTCCATGGCTTATATTTGAATATTATCACCATTTACCTTGTTATCTTCCATGCGCCCACCAGATAAAGCATCCGTAACATATGCCCTATAAAGGAGTTTCAAGTCCTCCATCTTTCTGTCACCATCATACTCACCACCTAAGCCAATAATGAATTAAATTAAACTTCAAGAATTTAGATTTAAAACTAGAAAAACCAAAAATAAATAAATGAAAATAAAACCCACCCAGTAAGGACACTTACCCACTAAAGAAACTGGACCAACACCACAGGCAAAGTGAACTACATCCGGATGATTCTTAAATGAGATGAGTAAACTATTAAATGCCAATACCTTGTCAAGCTCCTCAACTGCTTGACTAACTCCAGGACTGGAAAACAAAGTTGATTAGAGAGGGAAAATTCTACTAATGCAAAAAAATAAGGAATGAACAGTAACACTACGGAAACAAATGGCAAGAAAAAGCATGTCCATAATTCAATAATTAATATGGAACCATCTTTTGCAACATTAACATGCTAAGCAAGCTCAATCATTAATGAAAACCCGCAATGACTTGATCCCTTAAACAAAGAATATTTCAAGCCAGGAAAGTTGTGAATCTTACACTGCTCTGGTGCGAGATTTAAGTATGCCAAGTGCCACTGAAATATTTTCCTCAACCAATTTCCTTGCATGCTCTCTAAACAAGTTCTCAGCAAGCTGCAAAGGAAAATTTCCCTTAATTAATAAATAGACTATCCTACACCAAGGAACTCTTTGACGGCAAGAGAAAGGGGTTTATCCCAGAGAAGAAGTTGAGAGTTATGAAAGAAGAAATAAGGAAAATGCACCTCATCAGAAAGGCAACATAAACGTTGTGCTTCTTTAAGTGTAACAAGTTGTCCTGCATCAATATCTGGCAAGAAATTGTTGGTTAGCACTAAAAGAAGAAAACCCCATTTACAACTTCCAAAAATTGCTATATAATGAATTTGTTATTTTGGATAAAGTAATTATAGATAATTACCGAATAATATCCAGCACATCAGCTAAATACAACCAGAAATTTTAAGGCTTTATTTAATAAGATAAATGCAAGCACAATTAACAAAGAAGAGTATTACAGTATAACTTACAATCATTTCTCCACTAATATACATTGGACAGTGAAAAGTGTGCCAAACTATCTTCCCTATAAAAATTATGACAACTAGACATGATGACTAAGCATGAGCTAGTTTACCACTTTTGTTACATTAAGACCAATTAAAGGCCAAGATGCATTACTGATTACACAATTACCTCTGCCAACTGATTTCAGCTTGGAAGCATACAATCGCTGGGCATTGTCACGAACAGCTACTTCAATCTGGTAAAATAGATTATTGGGAACTAGTCAAATGAAAAATAACAAAAAACTAAGATTTGAAGAAATGGCATTGAGGACCTATTAAATTATCAAGAAATGAGACCAAATCCTGTCAGTATGTCACCATTAACAAACATGGCAAAGTGAAATTCACTCAGCAAATTAGTTCTTCCTTTTCATGAAAATACTTATACACAGTTAGGTCCTAGACTCCTAGCCTAATTGCATATTACAAATACAATTCACATTACTCAGGCCAGGCATACCAATTGACAAATAAGTAATAAATACCTGGGAATCAGTGATCTTGAAGACGCGCTTCCAAGGTAGAAGGAAAGATGATGCCTCTCCAAATACAAGATTTGACACATATATCAACTTTTGAAACGCCTGCACTGGAGACTCTAACAATGGTCAAGCTCGAAGTATTTCGTGTTTATTTAAAGCCCAGAAGGTATTGCCATCTATTGGTTAGAACAATCTTACAACATACTTACCCGACGTTGCTCGATATCAGCATCACGATCCCCAACTTCCAGCCTTTGCCTGAAAATTTTCCTACCAATCTGGGGGTCAACAAGCACCAAACGAATAAGATATGGAACTGCTTTCACTCCTGACAATAAATACACTCGATCTCTAAAGGTACAAGCACAATTAACAAAAGAATACCTCCATGTGCATAGCAGCAGCATCTGGATCATCAATCCCTAAAGAATTTTTGAAGTTGACGATTCTATCAACCTCATCACCTTTAAGTTCCTCACCACCAGGAGGAAGCACAGAAGATACAAACCTAAACAACAAGTTAAACGCAAACTAATCATTCAATGCAGAAGTTAAATAGCCAAATCATAACTCATTATCACACAAGCTACGCTAACACAAAATAAATAAAAAAATAAAAAAAAAACTAATTTATTGCTCACTCGGAATATATATCACAAATTTCAGCTTTGAACGCCTCGTCCTGCTTGTTCACACCATACCTGAAAAATTAACCATTTCAAAATCAACCATTGTAAAAGTTATAACAAAATTAACGGAGAAAAAAAGGAACAATTGAGACTAACTTGCTGGCAATGGCCTCAATGTCTTCCTTTTTCAACTTGGTTTTGTCGTCGAACCCAGCCACGTAGTTATGCAAATTCACGGCTGCAACTTGTGGTGCAGACGCATTCAAAGCGTAAGCGGCAGCACCGCTGGCCGCGCCGAGAGCCACGGCACCGCCCAGCGCTGAGGTTCGGCTACCGCCGAAACGGGACCCAAGGCCGTACCCTGCGGCCACGGCGCCGGCAACGATGATGGCGGAGGTTGCGAGCCTGGCCGGCGGCGACAACTTGTCGACGAGGAGCTCAATTCCCTTGAGGTCCTTAAGCGGCAGCTGCGGCGAAGATGAAGGAGGGTGGTGAGCGTCGGAGGAACAGCGAGGGAGGGAGACCCTGAAACGACGCCGTTGGGTTCGGAGGAAGGGAGAGGGAGAGGGTAATAGAAGGGAACGGTGTATGTGGGAAGAAGAAGGGGAAGGGGTGAGGGTGGAGGGGTTCATGGTTCCCTCTGAAACGACGTCGTGCGGTGGCTGCTGAGTGCAGAGAGTAGAGTGTAGAGTGAGTTGTTATAGGGTTTAACGACCAAAATGAATGAGATGAAGAAGAGAAGAGGATAAAGAAGAAAGAAAAGGTTTGGGGTATTCGTCGTTATTATGATTGTATATGTGGGTGATAAAGGAATATTCAAAACTTGTAGGCATTTCCTCACTATTATGATAGAATACGTGGCTTATGTAGTGAGTTTTTTTTATTTTATAATTTCAGGAGACACTTCTAGCCGTTCTGCTGTTTTTTCTCGTCCGAGTAACGTTGTTAAGATCGACATGTTATTTAAGATCGAGAGGGGTAAAAAGATTGTAAATCGCAAAATCAACATGGATCGTAAAATTGTTCTTGCACATATAAAATATTAAAATTACATAAATGATCAAATAAGGAAAAAAAATTATTGTGAGAGCAAGTGTGTGATCAATAAATTAAAGTAAGCAAGCAAATAAATAGACACAATCTAAAAATGCAATTTCAAAACTAAAATAAGGAGTTTAAGGTTAGAGAAATTACAAACTAGATGTATTATGTCCAGTCACCACCACCGTGGCTTACGTCCAAACTGAAGTCACTCGATCAAACTTTTTCACTAGCTATCAAGCTTGAGGGTCTTTGACAAACCACTACAATCTTTCAAGACTTCGGGATCTCGATGCTTTACAACTTTTCACTCCAAAGTTTCCTAGGAATTTGGTGACCTCTCAAGTGTAAAGGATTCACTCCCCTGACCATTCAAGAAATCAAATGGAGGTGTTTAACAATAGCTAAGTACTCTCAAAATACATATTATACAAGTTGAAGAACTATGGGTGTTGACACTCTCACAAGAATAAAGCTTAAAGAGTATTTATGATCAAGAAAACAAGAATAAAGCAAGTAAATTTAAATGAAGAATAATGACCAAGAAGAAGAGTCTAATTAATGGAATAGTTATTCCTATTTATAGAGGGTCCACAAGGGTGTTTATCCACTCATTTTTGCAAACTAGTCGTTTTATGTCCGTTATTTTTGTCTTCTGCATATTGGGTAATCGATTACCATCAATGATGCACGGACACGCGACACGCGACATGACACGACACGCCGACACGTTAATTCTAAAAAATGTCATATTTCGACATGTTAGGACACGTTTTGATATTAAATAATATTTTTAATATATATAATATAGTTTTTTTTTGGTGAAAATATATATAATATAGTTTACATATAATACATATAACAGTCCATAATAAATATATAACTAATAAAAAAAATTCATAACATAAATATAAAGAAAATAATAAAACATCATATATCCAATCAAATATTCTTATAATTTTTATTTTTTTGATTTTTAATCCAATCTTCATATTTTCATTTATTTAGTAAAATGGTACGTATTTTATTCTGCAACTATTTTTTTTTGGGTATAAACCATCTTCTTTTACACCAAAACAACCTTTATCTCAAAAATAACAAAATAATAAAATATTAAAAGTTAGAGCCCACTTCCCACCGACTTGTTTCCCATCACACCAACCTTTATCGTTTCACTTTTAACCTTCTGATAAACATTTTGTTCTGAAACGATAAAGGTTGTTGCTGAACATTCACACCACCATATTCAGATCTTGCTAAATATTTTGTTCTGAAAATCGCATAAAACTCTAGAGTTAGGATTATCGGAGAAGATCTGGAATCGGTGCTTCATCTCCTCCACCATCTTGTAGCTCTTGCCGTAGCTGTGAGCGAGCGAGCGAAGGAGACCAATCACCTGGAGGACTTGTGCTTTCAAGACCAAATCGTCGAAGTGTTGGGTCTGTTGCTCCCTCATCGCTGGTGCTTTGGGTTTGTTGTTTGTTTTTTTTAATTATTTTAATTTTATAAAAAATTTGAAAATTTTACATTTTTGCCCTTTGACCGTGTCGGACACGGTCAAAATCGCGTGTCGAGATAGTCAACGTGTCTCAAAATATTGACCACGTGTCGGACGCGTGTCGGTGTCCGACACATATTTTTTTAAAAGAACAACGTATCTGTGCTTTGTAGATTACCATGAAGGGTAATCGATTACCATTGCTAGGGTAATCGGTTACCAACCTGTTAAATGGTTGAATTTTGTCCCAAAATGGTTTTCTCATTATCTAAGTTAGTTTCAAATACTTTTAATCATTTGATAAACATTTAAAAACATATTTTCATGCTAGGAATGAATTTAAATGTCAAACGATGATTTGATACATGTATTTGAAAAAATGCTTTGAGCTTTGTTCACGTGAGAAATCAATTTCTCTTTCAAATAATCCTAAGTCCTAAGATATATTACTTTGAGGTTGCTTGGACTTAGAGTCTTCTCTTAAAGCTTGAGTCTTGATCTTTTTTAAACTTCTTTTGATTCTGTCACTTTGAAGCTTTCTTTCCATGATTGTTTGTTATCATCAAAATTCTACAATCTTCATATTCTTTACATTGAATGCATTAGTTCCACACTTATAATGAAAAACTCTTTTTTTATTATGAAGAAAAAAGCTAAAAGTAAAAAGTTCCTATGAGGAGCTTTTTTTTAAGCTCTTATATACTTTTCTTGAATTATGTGGTTTTTTTAAATGAAAAGCTATAAATATAGAGAAAGATAGTTTTCTTGAAATACGTGCTTTTGAGTAACCTTTAGGGGGCGTTTGGTTGGGGAGAAATTTTTATGAATCATAGGCAAATGTGATTAGTGGGGAAATGGGTGGAAATTGAGTTTGGTAGGAAAATGTAAAAATAGTTGTTTGGTTGGAAAATATTTTACTGGAGAAACTAGGTAACTTTTGTAAAGTCTATGTTTGGCTGATCGTAAAATATAGATGGGAAAATCATTGCATAGTTACGAAAATAACCTTCTGAACAAAATTAGAGAGAGAGAGGGAGACTGAGCTTTCACATCATGGCCAAGGGTACTTGGTCTTTCACATCATTGCATCAGCTTTCACGAAAGTAGCTGGTCTTTTGTAAAGGATGTACAGTGACTAATTTGGGTAGGTTTTCAATAATACCACATCGCCAAGGAACATCCTTCGCCGGCTAAATGGAAGCTGATGCTTATGCTTTTGGGTTATGTAGGCAACTCATTTAGGTGGGAAAGTGTGACAGAAACTCCAACCAAACGTGGTGTATGTAGATGCCTTGCTTTCATTTGCCTATGTTTCTGGGCAGAATCCGTGAAACAAACGCCCCCTTAAGTTAATCATTTTATGTAATTACCAAATAGTTTTAGTTTTTTCTTTTTTTTTAGCTTTATCTTATAAGTAGCTTCTAGTTTAAAAACGAGAGGATCCAAACAGGCTCTAAGAGCTTTTAAAAAAGCTTTTGCTATGAGCTTTTAGCTTTTTTCTTCATGATAAAAAAAAGATTTTTTCATTATAAGAGCTTTTCTTAAAATCTATTTGGCCTAGCTTATACTTATAAGTAGCTTCTAACTTAAAAAAAACGAGGATTCAAACATGCACTAAGTCTTAAACCAAAGTCAAAAGATCACTCCCCTATATATAGGGGAGGGTTCTTTTGACTCCAGAGTAAGACTCTTAAGTCTTACTCCAAATCTCAGCCGTTGATGGACGGAAATCAACGGTTGTCATTAATAGTATAATTAATAATTAATTAATATAACTTCCTAAATTATAACCGTTGGATGGACGAAAATCAACGGTTAGGATGGAGAGTAAGACTTATAAGTCTTACTCTTGAGTCAAATGATCTCTCTCCATATATATATATATATATATATATATATATATATAGAGTTTGGTGTTTGTCATTTTAAATGACATAAGTTATGTCATTTTAGGAGAGAGATAGACACAGAAAAACGGAAATCATGGGAGAGAGAAAGTGGGTGGTTTTTTTTAATTTAAAATTCAAATTTTCTGTGTCTGTATCTCTCTTAAAATGACATAACTTTCTGTCATTTAAAATGACAAACACCAAACCCTATATATATATATATATATATATATATATGTATATATATATATATATATATAATTCCCAATAAATAATAACCGCTGATTGGTGAAAATTAATGATTAGGATTTGGTGTCAAATTTCCCCCAATCAACGATTATCATTTATTGAGAATTATATATATATATATATATATATAGGATCTTTTTATACCTGAGTAAGAACAATAAATTTTACATTCAATATTAATCGTTAATTTTTATACATAAGGGAGTTATACTTTGTTAGGAATTAATAAGAATAACCTAATCAATTACAATGGTTTGATATATGGAATTCAACAGTTAAGATAAAGTATAAGATTTATTATTTTTATACCTATATAGTTATATATATATATATATATATATATATATATATATATATATATATATATATATATATATAGGGTTCATTTTTTCTGCAGTTACTGCAGATAAGTTATCTGCAGTAAGCCTAATACGACGTCGTTTTGGGACGAAAATCATGGTGTTTTTATAATTTTAATTTATTTCAGAGTTATTGTAGTCTTTATAATTCTAATTATTTAATTTTTCAATCCCAAAACGACGTTATTTTGGGAGTAAATGCAGATAACTTATCTGCAGTAACTGCAGAAATATTGTTCTGATATATATAGGGTTCGCTTTTTTTACATTCAATGTAGATAATTTATCTACATTGAGTCTAAAATGACATCGTTTTGAGGCGAAAATCAAGATATTTTTGTAATTATAATTTATTTCGGGATTATAACAGTCTTTTTCATTATAATTTTAATTTTTTCAACCTAAAATGACATCGTTTTGGGAGCGAATGTAGATAACTTATCTACATTTACTTTAGAAACATTAAAGTTATATATATATATAGGGAAGGGATCATTTGACTCCAGAGTAAGACTTATAAGTCTTACTCTTCATCCTAGCCGTTGATTTCTGTCAATCCAACGGCTATAATTTAGGGAGTTATATTAATTATTTAATTATTAATTACACTATAAATGACAACCGTTGATTTCCGTCCATCAACGGCTGAGATTGAGAGTAAGACTTATAAATCTTACTCTGGAGTCAAAAGAACCCTCCCCATATATATATATATATATAAACGAAATTTAAAAGCATCATTACACGCGGCATCATGTAAAAAGACACTGTCGTTTTTGTACACGCACAAAGTAATTCAAATTTAGTAATTTATTATTTTTTATTAATATTATATTATAGTAAACTTTTTTCCTTCTCGTCTCATTCCTCCTCTCTACATAGAAATGTATTGTCCCACATTGAGGCCTTAATCAATGTTATTGTTTTCTAACGAAATTGCTTGGAAGCTAATTAGCCTGGACCAAATCAGCGGTCTGGCTGATGGGATGTAACACTTTAGGGGATGTTTGATAGAGGAGAATTTTTTTTTATCCTAGAATTTTAATTTTTAAAAATATAACTTTTATATTCAGTTTACGATAATATTCACAAATTAAAAATTTAGAAAAATTCAGTTTCCTAAAAATCCTACAAAATGACACGAACCAAACGCCCCTAAGAGTCTTAGTGGATAAGGAACCCGTCACATTAGAATATAAGCTATAAATGGGAATTACTTTTCTCATGTAGTATGAGAGAAGTTCTCTCATGTTAAGAGACAAATAAAAAGGGTCTCACCAATTTTTAGAAAAAAAGAAAGAAAAAAGCACATTTTTCGAAGTGAGAGTGAAATAAGAGATCAATCTCATGCCACATAAGGTATGATTTCCCATAAATAATATATAATTTAAGAAAAATATTATTCTCATATTATATGAGAGTAATTCTCTTATGCTATAGAAAGAATACAAATGAGGCGCACCATTAAAAGCAAAAAAAGTAAAAGAAAAGAGGAGATGCGATTTTCGAAGTTAGAGAATATGAGATAACTATCTTATATAAAATGAGAATAGCATTTTCCATAATTAAATGCTTACTTACTTTATTTATTTATCTCCGCGTGCAATTGTTTTTTTCATTTATTAATTATTATGAACTCGAACTTCAGTAACTTTTCTCAATTATAACTTTAAAGAATTCCCCCCCCATATAAAATCAGTTTTTCTACATGAAATGATGTCAGTTTCCATAACAACCAAAGCAATGAAGGACCTTGCGGTCACACAAGATAGTTGGTGTAAATATATAATGGTGGTATTAAGGTTTGAACTTTATATCTCATATAAATTGTTCAAATTCTTTATAATTAGACCAATCAAAATGGATTGCATAATCACATTAAGTAATTAGATATTTCACTCTTAACATTTAAAAAAAAAATAGTTTAAATTGTGTACCTATTATTTTTTTCATTTTGTTAATTAATATCATTACATTATTATTAATATATCCATAATCATATATCATAATAATGAATAACTTTCGAGTAAAAATATTTAATTCATAAAAAAAAAACAAAAAAAAACGTGTTGACAACTAAAAAAACCATAGGTTCTACGTCACACAGGCTTGAGCTTTAGAAATTAGAATAGCTTTTAAACTACAAAAATCATATAATAATTACAAAAAACCATAGATTCTACACAAATCATAGATTGTGTAATTGGCTTGCTACTATTAGCTCACGTACCAGCAGGCATCTTAGGCCTAACTTCAATTCCTTCGAGAAGGAAACCGTGCTTCCACATATTACTCTGTGTCTCGCTAACTCTTATTTGCACTTCATCTCCCATGCCTGAATTGAAGAACTCCCCCATCTCGATCTCCAACAATCCATCATTTCTCACATTTGGACGTTGCAGTCCCTGGAATCTATCGTCCAGTTCGCTCTCTTCTAAGTATGGGTCCAAACAAACATTTTTGGTTGAGATAGGGCCTCCTATTATACCTACTGATAACTCCACAGGATAGTGATGAAACCCATCAGGATCGACCATGTTGAACACAAGATAAGCAGCATAATGAGTATTTGAGGATAACTCATGGGTACTTATCGCCCCACGAATATCAAACCAACACACAGCACGAAGCACAGCAACTTGTTGGAACCTGTTCACAAATGAAATGAATATATACAAGAATGACGCGAGGATAAGTGTTTGTACCGAAAAATCACTCATATAAATTGAAAATAGAAAAGAGAGAAGGGAAAAGACAATGAAGACACATATTTATCCTGATTCATCTAATTTGAGCTATGTCGAGCTATATTCTCCTCAGAGTGCTAGTTACAAAACACATAGTTTATAAGGTGAATATAAATAGGTTTAGTTGGTTTTCTCTATCTTCCGCCAACAAGAGTAATCATATGAACTGAAAATATAATTCATACCTAACAATAACTAGAGAAACTTTGAACAATAAGAGCTGACCTTGACTCTGGTATGGTTGTCCAATTCCAATACTGAGGAGTTTCAACCCAACAAATCCAGAGATCTCTGGCGGAAACCATGTAACACTTCTTCCCTGTCCGTTTGTCCAATTGAAAGCTCTGCATAATTCATTAACTTAATAATTAAAGGACAAACCCTAATACACAAAAAATCACTCACATGCGAGAATACGGGTGAGGGTCGATAATAAGCAGTCTTTTTCTTATACTTTTTGCAAGGGACTATTTTCATACTGGAACCGGTAACACAGCTATGAATTATCACAAATATAAGAAGAAGAGTTGAGATGATAGGATTAGCAGGATTATAATAAGCGAAAAAGAAGTATCGTTTAAAAGGACACAAGTTGTGTCTTTTTAGATGATTTACACAGTATGACCGGTCATACTCTGTGTAAATCTGAAAAGTTTTTTTTTTTTTCTCTCTTCAGTCACATCGCTTACTTGTAAAGTGAAAAAAAGCAACTTTTCAGAATTACACAGAGTATGACCGGTCATACTCTGTGTAAGTCACTAAAAGAATACAACTTGTGTCCTCTTAAACGACACTCACTAAACCCTTATAATAAGCAAGCAGGAGCAAGAAGAATACCTTTGTACCGTGGTCAATGATGATGGGATGGTCGGAGAGAGTAAGATAGAGAGCCTTCTTAGAGGAAGAGGTGGCTAGCAAAGAGGATGAAGATTCGGAATGGGATCGAGAAATGATAGAGACCAAATCGGAAGGGATAAAACGATCCCAGATAGCATCAGATTCAGCTGCAGAACAAAAGGCCCAGCAAACGAGGGAGAGTCTGCATAGATCCGCAGGAATATCGATGTAAGATAGTATGTGAGCAATGCATCCTTCGGGCAAGGCTTGGAAGTCCATCGTGTTTCTTGGGATGAAAAGTGTAACTACAACTATTTATATGATATGAGTTTCGACCCTAATTAAGCTCTCGCTAGCTACACCACTCATTTCGGAGAGACCATAGGATTAGGATATATATAAAGGAATTAAGTCAAACTAAAGCTTCTACCGAGATAGCATAGAATTATTCAATGTGATTATTTTCTAACGAAATTGCTTCGAAGCTTAGCCTGGACCAAATTAAGTGATACATTTTCTAGTCTATGACATGAGTCAATTGTCCTCAATTATGATTTTAGAGAATCTTCTTCCAAAAAAAAAAAAAATCAAAATCAGTTCACGCGGGATAGTTTGTATAAAATTTAATTCTTTCATTCTTGGCAATGCTCGAGGTTGTTTAATTAATTAAGTTGTTAGTCGTTTGATGTTTCACTCTTGACTTTTGTTTAAGTTGTTTAAGTTTGTATGATGAACAGTTTTAATGTAAAATAGTTCATTTCGTAAAAATAAATGTGTTGACAAGGTCAAAAAAAAAAAACGTGTTAACAAAGTATAAATATTAGGTTCATTTGTGATTCTATATATACTCAACATCACCAATAAAATTTAATACGTTCTGTCTACTTGAATGAAGATCGAAGTTAGTTTTGATAAATTGGGAGTTTTCTTACAAAAGTTTAAAAATAAAAGTTTTTGCTTGTTAATATAGATTTAAAAAGATACGTGCTATGAATTGGTGTTTATGATTTTTTTCCTTACTTTGTTTGAATGGGTAAAAAATATTATGTTCACCAATTTGTTGTTTTGACCTTCATTTAATATGGTGGTGAAAATTGAACTTTGACCATTTAATTTGGTCCAAATTTTGATATTATAAAAAGAATTATTTGAATCTAGAAATTTAAGTTATTCGACAACGGATTTACCAAATAAATAAATAAATTAGACAAAGGTACATTAATAATTTTATATTTATAACATATTTTTAAAAAAAAAAATACTATTTGTATATGAATTAATAAAAATGTATATTTTAAATAAATTTTAACCTCGATAAAATATTATTCAATTAATAATAAAATAATTACAAATATTTAATAGGATGCAAAGAAGTCGTGCCAATTAATGTATCGTGTGGAAGACTAGAAGGTATATAACAAGGATCGAAGCGAGGCTTGGGTTTGAAATAGTCTTCGTCAACTGCGAAGTAAGTAATTTTATTGAGAGATGTCATATTCATATCAGTGTTCTGGCCGGTACAAATTAAATGCATATATGGAATACTTGTTTCGACGAATCAATCATTTTCATGGAAAGAGAGACCTCAGCATTTTGGCATAACACGTGGTTTGTATTTCGACATATGAAGCTACCAGGAAGCTAGTTTTAAACTAAGGTGATTTTCATTGAAAGAAAACAGATTTATTTTTTTCTCTCCATTTTTTTATGGTTGGTTTAGTGGATGCAAGATTTTTGAATTAATTCTGCGCCAATACTCCGGGCTCGCATCTACAATTTGTTAGGGCTTCTAGAATTTAATTTGAAATGTGAAAATTCCATTTCGGAAAAACAAATTCAGAAGTAAACTTAATTAACTAATAATGTGAAAATTCAATGGATGTCGGTGGTAGTGATTAAAAGAAATTGTTTGAACCTAATGTCAAAAGTCCGATCACAGAAAAAATATTCTTGGAAAGAGCTTTGAACTTAATCACAATAGGAATAAAATTGCAAACGTAAAGTAAAAATCTTAAAAAAAAAACTAATAATGCGAAATGAATTTAAAATTATAAAGTTAAAAGAATTATAATTAACTATACCAAAAATTTTATCTTCATTATAAGTGAACCAAATCAATCTAAAACATTAAAAAGAAGAAACATGTATTTGTAATTGTGAGAAAAAGATACAACGGTATAAGTATAACACAAGAACACAAATCAAGATCTTGTAGCATTTCCTTTTAATATCTTTGAGCTATTGATTCATCCCATTACTACCAAGAAATAAATGGTGGAGTCGATCTTGAATGTCACCTATTCCATACTTAATATATTCATCGGAATGCTTACCGAGAACATCCTCGAACCTCCCAATGAATTTTCCATATGTTGGTAGCAAGATGTTTTCAATGGATTTTCTTATTTGTTCCTTCAGTCGCTCATCAAAGACAAACCATGTAGATTGAACGTTGCATGTCTCGCGGAAATGCTTGTTGAACAAATTGAGCTTTTCTTTCATGAACTCTAATGTAACAACATTGGGGACCACTGACTCGTAGCTCTCTAATTTTAAAAAATCCAGTACCATTTCCCATGAGTTTTTTAGATAGAGCTCAAGGTATTTTCTGACTTTCGCTTCATTTCTTGGGAACCAATCATCACCCAACATGGTTCCCAATCCCTCTTCTTTTGCCTTCTGTTCTAAGTAACTCCAATTTAACATCATGAAAAAATAGTGCGAAGCAGGGTCCTCAAAGTTTTTGGACTCTGCTATCAATTTTCTTTCTAATAGCTCTATCATCCATTCCATCTGTGCAGAAAATGAAGATTTTCCCACTTCATTACCAACCTTGGGGTATTCTTCTAAAATTTGCTCCAGAATCTGCCGTGATTCTCGAGCAGCAATGATACAGTTTATGACACTTTGGGTCATTGGAAGAAGCCAGCAGTTTCCCGGAGTACGGGAAATCAGATTCCCCAAGTCCAAGAAAATATCTCTGCTTGCTTCTCCCAATCTGTTCTGTATTTTGATTGCTTCATTTACCATTGACTCAGGAAACAATGATTGGAATTCCGGAATCAAATCACGCAATGTCTCAAACATGTCTATGATTTTGAACAAACGCCAAGCTGAGGGGCTCCCACTAGCAACCGCGTCAACAAAATCCAACAACTTAATGGTGGCTCCTTGACAAACATCTATGAAACAAAGATAAGCAGAATCAGAGAAACCTAAGAAGACACGATCACATAGTCGCTGCTCACCAGGGAATAGTATCCTGAGAGCCACCTTGCAAGCTTTACCCAATCTTCTAATCATGAAATCTTCGAATTCAATCTCTGTACGTTTCTCCTTCTCGATGTTGATCTCTTCTCCGAACAATAGTTTATTTATTAGACAATCCTCCAAGCATTCCTTCCGTCTTTTGGTGTACACATCGTAGCACTCCTTCTCAAACCCAGCTTCCATCATCACCTTCACAGTCTCATGAAGATCATTGATCAATCTCGAGGGAAGCGCATCGATCACGTAGTTGTGGTCCGTCACTGACAGTTGATAGTTATGTTCGAGATGTGGGAAAAGCGTGTAGGTGACATTCAGATATTTCTGTTTAAGCTTCTTCATACAAGTCCTGAGTTGATTAGCCATACCAGCAATATCAGTACTTGCCGCTTGTGGGGAATCATCAGCTTCAATGACTACGGAGTGGAGTTGTGGAGAAGGTTCACCTTGGAGTTCAACATATTGTGGTGGAGTAGCAGTAGCACCTGAGGAACAAAGAGAATGAAGGAAATAGCCAAAACATACTCCAACAACACCTAAAGCTGTTTTAATCATCATGAGTCGTACTATTAGAACTCCCAGAAAAAAATATAAAAGATCCTTTTCCAATCCACAATGAGTTCGTCTTGACAAACTGAGTGACATGATGGCAAAGGAAGCACACGAAATCAGGTTATATACGTCGGGTTTCCCAGATACGGCTTTGTCAAAGAAAAAGGAATACACAGAGGTGATGGAAGCAACCCAAAATGGTGAATGAGTTTTGAACCGGGGACTGATCAAGAAGCGTTGCCATATCTCTGGAAACAAAATCAAGAGACAGATGAAGACACTGACAACAATATAAAGAGATAACTTCCATGAGTACCACTTTCCGAATAAATGGTTGAAGACTGAGCTGAGAGCAAAACAGATCAATCCGACAACAGTTGAAGCAAGTCCCACAAATCTCCATACCTCTGGCTGCTTCAGCCATACCCGGATTTGAACAGCCACGAGCATCATGCTCTCTCTCAAGTGAGTAAGAATTGCCACTACAGGGATACAGAGAGCCATCATTTTTATCTTGGGATGAGAAATGACAATCAGTTCCCTCTTTTATGATGAGAACTGCTTTCGCTGACACAAGTCAAGAGCAACTCACTCTTTTAGGCTTAGATGTGTGAAGCACTCCCTTTCTTCAAATGAAATTTCGAGGAAACGAAGTAAGAAGTGAAGTCTTAAAATCTAAAGACTTGAGTATGTTTATTTGTGAGTTTCTTCTTTCACTCTTTTCCTTCCCGTTTTCCACACACTGTTAACCCACAAAATAATATGCAGATTTTCACGCTTAATAGTTAAGTCAAATTTCACTCTCTTACGAGACAAAAAAAAATAAAAACTTCTGTTTCTATTTTTAAAACAATTTTTTACACTTATATTTTTTTGTTTTATACAATAATGGCACCTAAGTTCAAATCTATAACCTGATAGAGACTAATCAAATCTCTCACGTTAGACAAATATTAGTGAATTATTATACTTATATTTCTAATTCAAAAATAATAATCTACTAAGTATATGATTTATTTTGAGTGAGCTTAGACTTGTGTTCTTATTGTGGTTCTGTAGAACAATTAAATTTTTTATTTATTTAAAGACCTCTCTGATTGCATACTTCATAAAGCAATTCCAAACCAGGAAGTGGCGATGTTTCACTTGCCAGCAGCTTGGCCAATAGGTTTTGTTTCCCAGTGATTTAATAAACCAAAGAAAAGCACTGGCTACAAGACAAAGTCTAATGGCTTAGTGTTACTGAGTATCTCTGAAATCTTAGACAAATGAGAGTAGATACTTGGAAAAGTCTTCAAGCTGATGCCAAGTCAAAGTGTAAGGCTTTTTTTTTTTTTTTTTTTTTTGTGTAAATAAGTGTAAGGCTTTAAGGCATGCTTCAACAGTTCAACACCTTACAAGAGTTAAAATAAAAAAGATAGATGTATAAGGCATGAAAACAGTGAGAATGACAATGACCCTATTATGCATTTTTTTTTTAAAAAAAAAAAACAAACCATTGTGAAACAATATTATTTTCAAGAGGAGAGATCTTTGTATTCCAATATTAGATTAAAAAATATTATTTTTCATCTCAGTCATTCTGTCTATTTAACGATCGTAGTTTATTAAATTATATTAATTAATTAATTAATTATAAATTCTAAATAAACTACCACCAGATCAACGAAAATGAACTACTAAAATGAATAGGGAGTAAAACTGTTTAATATTATTACATTGGAGTAAAGAAAAAAATCCTTCTCTACTTTCAAACGTAAACCAATTTGATACGCAATCTATCTATGCGAAAGTACTTCCACCCATTTCTCATACAAACTTGCCGCTAGTGCTATAAATAAGCTGGGATGTATTAAGTTTTAAGTTAAATAGATTAGTCCTATGAAAAATATTTTAGATTTGATTTGATCTGTCTATGTAGGTTCTTAATTTATAAATTTAGTGTGACTTATATTTAAAGAATAAAATTTTTGACCTAAGCCTGTTAGTCTATTTAAATCAATTAGGTATTCAATAATTAAAAAAATATTATTTATTATTTAAAATCATTCAAATAAATAATAATTATTTTATTATTATTATTTTATTTAAAATAAATAATATGATATAAGTCGACGGTAGGTTTGTAGACCGAGCATGTAAAAGAAAATCTATAACCTACTTTCTAAATAAACTTTTTTTATGCCTAAACCTGTTCTATTTGATGATATGTAATAGATCGAGTTTAACCTAACGTTGGTTGAGTCGTAAGCCCCTGTTAGACCCGCGGACTCATTTACCCTGTTAGACCCGCGGACCCATTTACATCTATGCCATGTTATGTAAATTGATAAGGTTTAAATTTTATTTTGAATAAACCGTAGCTATATTTGTAATACCGGTCGTGAATGAAACTTTGGTAAATTTTGGTAATACTGAGTTTGACTACTTTTCAAGTTGTAACTTTGCTAATTTATCATTTAAATAATGGAAAATATTACTCTCCTTTAACATAAGATATCTTCTCTCATGTTCTCTCACTTCGATTTTCGTATCCCACCTTTGTCTTTTTTTTCTTTTTTCTTGTAATGGTGGATCCCACTTATTTTTCTCTACAACATAAGATAATTATCTTATGTTAAATGAGACTAATAAAACCCTTAAATAATACAACATTAAAAGTTTCAACATGAACATAGTATGAAAATGGACTTTAAATATACGGATTAATGTTTTTTATGTTGAATGAGATAATGTTATCTATTAACATACATAAATGAGACTCATATAGGGCCATGTGAGGAAAAGAGAAAGAAAAAGAAAAAGAAAAATTAGATCTCATACATTTTTATGTGTGTGTAGGAGATAAAATTTATCCCCTACCATATAAGAAATATTATTCATATATATATATATAGTAGGTTCATGCATATACTTTTTTAGTATTGTTATCAGGGAAGAGTTATATTTACAAACTTTTTGTTTACAAACTACACTATGTACTCTCGGGAGAACATTACTCTCGGGAGAACAGTAAGTTCTCCCGGAGTACATAGTGTAATTTACAAAAATTTGTAAAAAAAATTTGTAAACGAATCCTTCCCCTTGTCATTATGTATTATTCAAATATTAAAATTCAAAAACCTCAACTCAATTATATTATGTTTCATTCTACATAATCTGCTCTGAACTGTGAAAATGGCTACAATTTATCTGTGCGAGTGATATTATTTATATTGAGGAAGGTTATACTTACAATCTGTTTTCGTTTATAACCTCTTACAACCATATCTTTAACCGTTGATTTCAGGCAATCAACGATTATTATAGTCACAAATTAAATTCATTAATTAATTATTAATTTGCAATAAATGATAACCGTTGATTGGCGGAAATCAACGGTGAAGATATGGTTGTAAGAAGTTGTAAATAAAAATAGATTGTAAGTATAACCTCCCTCATTTATATTAGAGAATAATATAAATCATTAAAAAGACTCTCGTCCAATGTTTTTTGGGTTGAAGTGATTCTTTATATGGTATTAAAGCTTTAGTGACCATAAGGTCACGAGTTCGATCATCACCACTCTCACTTGTGAAATTAAATAAATGGTTGTCAAACTAACAAAAAAATTGGGCTTATACAATACTTAACATGCTCTTACATGGGAAAATTTTAATGCTCCAGGACCAGGACGATGATGGTCCTCCCATTAAGGGAGTGACACGTGGATTCTTTCTTTTCTTTCTTCCTCTCTTCTTTCTTCTCGATCTCTCTTTCACTCTCTCTCCTCCACTCCACCCAATCTCTTGTGTTCGGGGAGCACCAAATTTCATCTCTCTTAGGTGAGGAGATATATTATATAATAATATAAATTATTAAAAAAATTCTCACCGATTTTGAGTTAAAGTGACTCTTTATAATTTCCTTTGCGAAAAAATGCTCCATTTAGGGTTACACCTGCTACTGAGAGGAGGAGAAGGAGAAGATTCCACTTTTGCTTTTGTTCCTGTCATCACCAATCACCTCACCCCGTTCGTAAGCAAAAGGTTGTTATGATCATTGCCATGCTTTGTATAAAATTTAATTAATTCATCATTGATTGCCGTGCTCGAGGTTGTTTTTTTTTTTTTGATAACATGCTCGAGGTTGTTTAAGTTGTTAGTCGTTTGATGTTTCACTCTTGACTTTTTGTTTAAGTTTGTATAATGAATAGCTTTCGGGTGTGTTTGGTACAGGAGAAATTTTTTGGTGACCGGGAATCATGATTAATGGGAATTCAGTAGAAATTGAGTTTACTTGGAATCTTACGAAAGATGTGTTTGGTTCGTCAAAATATTACCGGGAATACTGGGTAAAAATTACTGATTCCATATTTGGTTTAGAACGAAATATGACTTGGAATATGAGGTTATTTTACAAAAATAACCCTAAACTATTTTTACTTTTGTAATTGATAGATTGGGTCTAGATTTTTATGTGTATTGGGCTATTTTTGTCTCAAAATTTATTGTTGTGTTTTCCCTTTACTTGGTATTCTGATTGGTATTCCGAATTACCATATTATTTTTGGTAATCTGAATAGTGACTTTTCTTTATAAATCAAATTACCGGTAATCCTTGGATATCCGGGAATCGTAATTTATTCCTTCTACCAAACGTGGTAATTACATTTACCAAAGAAGGATTACCGGTAATCCTCTCCAAAAACTTGAACCAAACACCCCCTTCATGTAAAATAGTTCATTTTGTAAAAATAAATGTTTGACAAGGTCCCAAAAAAATGTGCCAACAAAGTATAAATATTACCAATAAATTCATTTGTGATTCTAATCAACATCACCAATAAATTCTAATATGTATGTCTATTTGAATGAAGATCGAAGTCAGTTTTGATAAATTGAGAGTTTTCTTATAAAAGTTTAAAAATAGAAATTTGTGCATGTTAATATAGTTTGAAAAAGATAAGTGATAAGCCACTAGGATTGACCTAGTGATAAAGGATTTAGATAATTTATATTAAGTTATGTATTCAATTTCTATTATTGTATAAAAAAAATTAGGTGATATGAATTGGTGTTTATGATTTCTTTCCTTGCTTTGTCTGAATGGGTAAAAAACATGATGTTAACCAATTTGTTGTTTTGATCATTTAATGGGACGTTGAAAATTGAGCTTGTAATTAATTGGTCACAAAGATTTTAATGAATCGTTGCAATTCAAAAATTTAAATTATTACGTGAAGACAGGTTAATACTTTAAATTTTGTAATGTATTTTTCTAACAATATTAATTGTATATGAATAAATAAGAAATTATATTTTAAATAAATGTTAACCTGAATAAAAAATTGTTAAATTAATAATAAAATAATTACAAATGTTTTATTAGGATGCATAGAAGTCGTGCCACATGTATCGTGTGGAAATTGAAAAGTATAACAAGGAAGCGAGGCTTGGGTTTAAAGTCGCGGGCTATAGTCTAACGGGTCAGGAGCGAGGCTTGGGTTTAAAGTCTTCGTCAACTGCGAATTAATTTCCATTGAGGAGAGATATCAAATCATTGCTCTGGCTGGTATAAATGTACGTATGGAGTGAGAGTCGATCTTGTCGTGTGTTAATTAACATGAGTATGTTATGTGGAGCAATCATAACTATATATGTGTGGGTTAATGGTGATAAGGGAGGAGAGAAAAAAAAAAATAAAGATATTAAGTTACACAATCATCACCGTTGATTTAATTATTAATGGTTAAGATCTTTCCATGACATAATCATGTTAAATTACACGTGAGATGATCTATTTTCGTATGAAATACTTGTTTAAACGAATTAACCATTTTCATGGAAAGAGAAGGCCTCAGAATTTTGGGATAACACGCGGTTTGGATTATGACACCCGAAGCTACCTGTACCGTTGGACATGTGAGGGAAGGAACGGCGGGATGAAGCAAGCAGCCAATCCCTTGCTGGTTTAAAATTGCAGCATCGGTATTCATCTTATAAACACCATGCATATGGGGTGGGGCCTGCCAATAGGTGTTTGCACCATTTTTAGCTTATCTTTCTTATACTCTTCGAAGAAGCTGATTGCTTTGTTCACCACATCCACATGATAGTTCTGTATGTCCTGGAACAGCAACAAATTTATATCACTCCATAAAGCCCATGCAACTACTAGCATAAGTTCCAATTACGATCTATAAGTCCACTATATTCCCTTCAGGGATAAGAGTTACTTTATGGGTTATACTTCTAGCACAGGTAGAGATTAAGTTAGCACTATCCCAATTATGAATGCTAACAGACGATAATGGGGGGTATGTGTGTGTGACTCGAGGATTATGGGATACAACCTGTCTTAAAAGGGGTATTTATACAGGAGTGAGGTTTCTGCCCTGAGTGGGTTGGTGAGAGGGGGTCAAACCTCCTCGGGGCTGTTGGGGGTGGTTGACACTGTTACGATAACAGTGATACAGTCTCTGCATCGATGGTGTCAGCATCTGATGCTGGGGGTTACTATTTATGGTATCTGGGGTGACCTCCCAAAAGGTTGAAATCCCAATATGAGACTTTTTGGTGTCTCACCTAGGGGCGTAATCGCCCAGGAGACAGGATGGATAGGGGGTTGGTAGCGATAAGTCAACAGGACTGACGTGAAAGAAGGGAAAGGGGTTTAGGCCCAAATCGTTGGACCGCTCAGAAGTGGGCCATCCGAAACACTATCAGTAAAGTGATTTTCATGGAAAGAAACAGAAGTTTATTTTTTTCCTTTTTTTTATTTTTTTTGGTTGGTTTAGATTGAATTAATTGTGTCTCAACGCTCCTTTTCCGGGCTCAAATCTACAATTTTGTTGGGACTTCTAGAATTTAATTCGAAATGTGAAAACTCCATTTCAAAAAAGCAAATTCAGAAATAAACTGTAACTAATAGGGTTATATACTTCTTCTGTCACTGCAGATGAAAAAAAAGTGCAGCAACACTTATTTTTATCAGGATACGCGTTCGAATCCTGATGTGTTTTTTTTTTTGTTAGGCCAGGATACAACCCCGTATCCTAATGTTAATAATTTGCTGCAATTTTTATCATCAAGGAGAAACGACGAACCCTAACTAATAATGCGAAAATTCAATGGATGTCGGTCAGGCCTTCCATATTCTATACATATGCCTTTGCTTATGGTAGGCACATATAATATCGATATATTAATTAATTAATTATTTTATTTTATTTTAATAAATTAATAAATTATATTAATATGGCTTGCCCCTGACTGAACCGAAGTTACCGTAATTAAAGTAGTTGTTTAAACCCCAAGGTCAAAAAATATATTTTTGGAGAAATATTATAGAGAGAAGATCTTTGGTTTTCACCACAATTGAGTGAAAATCACAAAAGCAATGTGTATGTACATCTAAAAAAAACTAATAACGTCAAATGAATTAAGAACTATAAAAGTTAAAAAGCAATTATAATTAACTATGCCTAAAATTTTATATTCATTATAATTGAAACAAATGAATTTAAAATATTAAAATAAAAAAGGAAACATAAATTTGAAATTATGAGAAAAAGTATACAATTGCATAACATGAGAACACAAATCAAGATTAAGTTCTTTGAGCTATTCTGATGAAGACCTTTTCAGCGAAAAAGCTAAGCTTTGATTCCACGAAATAAATCATGGAGTCGATCTTGAATGTCATCTATTCCATACTTAATATATTCTTCGTAAGAACGCTTACCGATAATATGGTGGAACCTGTCAATGAATTTTCCATATGCCGGTAACAAGATGTTTTCAATGGATATTACCATTTGTTCCCCGAGTTCCCTATAAGAGGCAGACCATGAAGACTGAATAGTGCATGTGTCCCGAAAGTGCTTGTTAAACAATGTGAGCTTGTTTATCATGGACTCTGATGCAATATTGGGGTCCATGGAATTGTAGCTCTCTAAGTTCAAAAATTCGAGTCCCTTTTCCCATGAGTTTCTTACATAGAGTTCGAGGTATTTTACGACTTTTGCGTCTGCTTCACCCAACAAGGTTTTGAGTCCCTTTTCTATTGATATGCATTCTACATTAAACCAACTTGACAACATGAGGAAATTCTGCCAAGCAGGATCCTCAATGTTTTTGGACTCTGTCTGTAATTGTCGTAACATCCACGCCATTGGTATAGCACAGGAAGATTTGATTTTCTGTAAATCATAAAATGATGAAGATTTTTCCAATTTATTACTAACCTTGAGGTAGTGTTCAAAAATTTGGTTCTGGATCTCCCGTGATCCTTGAACGATGCAGTCCATGGCTTCTGTGGTCATTGGATGATGCGAGACATTGAATAGAGTTGGGCTACGAGAAATCAGATTATTCCCCAAGTCCATGAAAATATCTCTGCTTGCTTCTTCCAATCTGTTCTGCATTTCGATTGCTTTATTTACCAATGACTCAGGAAAATATAATTGAAATTCCGGAATCAAATCACCCAATGTATTAAACAAGTAAAGGATGGCGTACAACAAGGGACGCCAATGTCTACCGGAGCGTCTCGCACTCACAACTGCATCAATAAGATCCAAGAGCTGAAGGGTGAGTCCTTCGCAAATCTGTAGGAAACAAGGATAAGATGCATCAGAGAATCCCGAGAAGACACCATCGAAAAGTCTCTGCTCCCCGTAAAATAGTATCCCCAGAGTCACCTTCAAAGCTTCAGCCAATCTTCTAATCACGAGAACATCGATTCCAAACCCTGCAGCTATATCCTTATCGTTGTTGACAGCTCGAAACAAGAAATAATTTATTACACAATCCACCAAGCATTTCCTCCGACTTTTGATGTACACATCGTAGCACTCCTTCTTAAACCCAGCGGCCATCATTGCCTTCACAGTCTTTTCAAGATCATTGATCAAACTCGAGGGCAACGCTTCCATCACGTAGTTGCGTTCCGTCACTTCCAGTTCATCGTACTCTTCAAAATATGGGAAAAGCGTGTAGGTGGCATTCAAATATACCTGTGTAAGCTCCTTCATATAAGTCCTCAGTTGATGAGCCATACTAGCATTAATATCAGTACTTGCCGCTTGTGGCTGTGGGGAATCATCAGCTAATTCAATGACTACGGATTGGAGTCCAACATACTCTCGTGGAGGAGCATCTGAGTAACAAAGATAATGAAGGAAATAGCCGAAACATACTCCAAGAATACCTAAAGCTATTTTAATCATCATGAGTCGTACTATTAGAACTCCCAGAAAAAAATATAAAAGATCCTTTTCAAATCCACAATGAGTTCGTCTTGACAAACTGAGGGACACGATGGCAAAGGCAGCACACGAAATCAGGTTATATACATCTGATTTTCCAGATACGGCTTTGTCAAAGAAAAAGGAATACACAGATGTGATGGAAACAACCCAAAATGGTGAATGAGTTTTGAACCGGGGACTGATCAACAAGCGTTGCCATATCTCTGGAAACAAAATCAAGAGACAGATGAAGACACTGACAACAATATAAAGAAAGATCTTCCATGAGTACCACTTTCCGAATAAATGGTTGAAGGCTGAGCTGAGAGCATAACAGAGCAATCCAACAACAGTTGAAGCAAGCCCCACAAATCTCCATACCAGCCATCCCCGGATTTGAACAGCCACATGCATCGAGCTCTCTCTCAAGTGAGTAAGAATTGCTACTGCAGCGATACAGAGAGCAATCATTTTTATCTTAGGGTGAGAATCAGTTCCCAGCTGCTTTCACAGACACAAGTCAAGAGCCACTCTTTTTGACTTAGATATGTGAAGCATGTGTGAAGCGGAAAATAATTCTCTGGTCCTTTTCTCTCTCTCTTTCCTCTCTCCTCTCTCTCTCTCTCTTTTGTTTTGTTTTTGTTTCTACTCTAGTGAGCCGGTATCGCTCAATAATTGCTCGTGTGAAGCACTTCCTCACGTAAGACCTTTTTAATATAATTTTTTTTAATGATTTATATTATTTTTTAACACGTCTGGTTCAAAAGTTTTTTGAGCTTAAAGTAAGGATATTACAAAGGTCTAATTTTTGGTTTATTTTGTGCTTATTTTAATTCTACTATAAAGTGGGAAGCGTTAAGGATTAAACGCACCTTATAGTCAAGAAAGCTCTTATAACATATAAAAATTCATTTCAATGCAAAATCTTAAGACATTAAATGATTACTTTTTTAATGATGTATATTATTCTCTAATAACTATGTTTATTCGTGAGTTTTGTCTTTGACTCCTTTCCTTCCTCTTTTACACACACGGTTACCCACAAAATATTATGCAGATTTTCATGCTTAATAGTTAGGGATAGGTTATATTTTTGTTTACAAACTACACTATATAATCCGAGAAATATATACTTAAATATTTGTATTTCCTAGAATAAATAGTGTAATTTGAAAGAGTTTGTAGACAAAAAAATTATAATGTTAGAGTTTAATTTTAGAGTAAATATCATTTTTTGTCCTCAGCAAATTTTCCGATGCCTGCAGCTAATCTCCATGGGTACTGGGTAGTCAAAGCTGCATATGCCACGGAGGCATGAGTTAGCAAATTTGGCAGCTGCATATGCCTGCAAAATCAAGAGTGGGATTTCAAGTTAGATAGTCTGTCTACTGGGACTCAATTGATATGGTTACAACTGTAGAAATATGAAGATAAGCTGTTAACCATTGACAGTTTTGCAGAACCAGCCCCAGGTTTTGCTTGGAACATGAATAATTGTAATTAATCTATGATGAATCAATCACAACCAGATATAACCGGGGAATAAGATAGTGCATTTGACATTTTGTGAATATCTACGGTGATGGATATGAAAACAAGGTTGAGTAGCAGAGATAAACTATTCAGACTAGTAATAAGCATCATTTGAATATGTTCTGCCGTGGACAGAGGTGTCCGACCGTAAGTCAGTTGTTTGATGTTGGATCTATAGCTTTATCTCTAGATACCTATGGATTAGGTATCTTGGGGACAGCAAATCACTACACACAGTATGATGGCCTTAGCCTGAATGGGTGTGTGTGTGCGCTGTCGTGCTTGAAAGAAAATAGGATTAGAGAGATCAGCCATACCTGTGGTCTTTAGCCCCTATTTATAGAGCTTACCTTTGGGCTTGTGTAGGTTAGGCTTCTTGCTGTCGTGGGCCTTTCCCTGGTCCATAACAGTTGCCCCCCATCCCGGTAGACTGAGTCTTCAAGTTGTCGGGATGTCCAAGTCAAGCCGACTGTTGTGCTTTTAGTTCAGATGTTGGTCACCATGTTGGTTTGTTATTTCAGCTTCCCCACTTGGCTTCGAGAGGGAAAGCTTTCCCTGGTTTTTACAAGCATATTTTCTTCCGGGATGTTCTACGAAAGTTTTCATCCGGGTTACGTTGCCGGGTTTTAGGGCATGCGACCTTCTTAGACTAGAGACTCGGTCACTCATTTCGGCAACGTAGAGAATGGTTGTATTTAACTGCTACCTGATGATTGCTTTGAAGTGAGAAACAGTCTCCCTTCTCTCTAATGATTACTTTTCCACGTACTCCATTCCAATAGGCTCAACGTGTGGCTTCGTGCGTTTCTTGCCGCCTTAGCATTTAATGCTTCTGTAAAAACGTCTCTCAACTGTCTTGTCCACTCTGCAATTACCGCAATGCCCCTGCCCTTTGGCTTTCGTGGGTTTAACCTTTCAATTTCAGCCCCCATATTATCACCCTCAGTTTTCATTTCAGACCATTTGTCTCACAAATCGTCCGTTTGCCTTTGTTACTATCTCGAATCGCTTGGCAGTACCTAGAACATTTCCCTTCAACGTTCACTATCTCCTGCGAATTTTCGTATCACAACCCGAACACGAATTTTCGTATCGTGTCTCGGGTCGATTCATGTGTCATAACCTATATTGACACCCCGCACCTCTAAGTTTAAATCTATGACCACCTGATAGAGACTAATCAAAACTAATCAAATCTCTCACGTTAGAGTAATATTAGTGAATTGTTATACTTATATTTCTAATTCAAAAATAGTAATCTACAAAGTATATGATTTATTTTGATTGAGCTTAGACTTGTGTTCTTATTGTGGTTCTGTAGAATAATTAAATTTTTTATTTCTTTAAAGACCTCTCTGATTGCATTGCATACTTCATAAAGCAATTTCAAACCAGGAAGTGGCGATGTTTCATTTGCCAGCAGCTTGGCCAATAGGTTTTGTTTCCCAGTGTTACTGGGTATCTTTGGAATCTTAGACAAATGAGAATAGATAGTTGGAAAAGTCTTCAATGATGCCAAGTCAAACTGTACTGCTTTAAGGCTTGCTTCAACACCTTAAAAGAATTAAAATAAAAAGATAGATGTATGAGGCATGAAAGCAGTGAGAAAGATAATTACCCTATTATGCTTCTTTTTTTAAAAAACAAAACATTGTGAAATAATATTATTTTCAAGAGGAGAGATCTTTGTATTTCAATATTAGATTAAAAAATATTTTTTTATCTCAGTTATTGATTTCTGTCTATTTAACGATTGTAGTTTATTAAATTATATTAATTAATTATAAATTCTTAATATACTACCACCATATCACCGAAAATGAACTACTAAAATAAATAGGGAGTAAAACTTTTTAATATTACATTGGAGTAAAGAAAGAAACCCTTCTCTACTTTCAAACATAAACCAATTTGATACGCAATCTATCTATGCGAAACTACTTCCACCCATTTCTCAACTTGCCACTAGCGGTATAAATAAGTTGGGATGAATTAAGTTTTAACTTAAATACGTTAGGCATGTGAAAAGTACTTTAGATTTGACGTGATTTGTTAGCTTGTATAGGTGCTCAATTTATAATTTAGTTTATCCTATATTTAAAAAATAAAATTTTTGGTCTAAGCCTATTAGTCTATTTAAGCTAATTAGGTATTCAATAATTAAAAAAATATATCATTTTATTATTTAAAATTATTAAAATAATTTATTTATTTATTTTATTTAAAATAATTAATATAATATAAGCTGACCGTAGACTTGTAGACTCAACGTGTAAAAGAAAATTTATAATCTATTTTTTAAATAAACTATTTTTTTATGCCTGAACCTATTCTATTTGATGATATGTAATATAGTAATAGGCAAAATTTAATCTGATGGTAAGCTAAGTTATACGCTCTTGTTAGGCTGACTGACCCATTTACAAGTCTGTCATGTGTTGTAAATTGATAAGATTTAAATTTTATTTTGAATAAACCGTAGCTAAATTTGTAATGCCGGTCGTGAATGAAACTTTGGTAAATTTTGGTAATACTGAGTTTGACTACTTTTCACGTTGTAACTTTAATAATTTCTCATTTAAATAAGGGGTAGATATTATAACAATCAATAAGTGTTATTATCAATATTACTATCAATTAATTTCACTGTTAGATCGACTATGTAATTTATACTATTATAAAATAGAGCAAAGTTTATTTTGGATCCCTAACAAAAATTATGGTCTCCACTTTAGTCCCTCACAAAAAAAGTTAGTCTCGAGATTCTTAAAAAATTCAAAGTGGACAATTTAGTTGAAGTCATTGTTCCTTATAAATTAAAAAAAACCCACATTAGTCCCTCAAAAAACTAAAATAGATCTATTTTGAATTTCATACGGACCAGATGACTTTTTTTTAGGGACAAAAATGAAGATGTATTTTTGTTAGGGATCCAAAATAAATTTTACTCAATAAAATAAGGCTTTAATATTTCTAAAGTGAATATAAATAAGTTATTTATATTTGCATCCAAAACAAAGTCATTTTAAGTTGAAAAATTAAAAAATTATAATGAAAATTATTATTATACCCTTGAAATAAATTATAATTATAAAAATTTCTTGATTTTCGCCTCAAAACTATGTCGTTTTAGATTCACGGTAAGTATATTATCTACGTTGACCGTAATAATACTGTCCCTATATATATTTAAAAGCATAGTTACACGCGCAATAATATTGTCCCTGTATATATTCAGGTAGAAAGCCACTCACGGACCCAATGAGTGCAGCTCAATTGGTAACTTGGCGCTGAGTTAGTGGGGTTGGATATGTGTTCGATTCCCGCTGAATGCATTCTTGGGGAGGGGGCTGAACCTTTAGCCATCACTGTTCTCCCGCACTCCGGATTAGTCTCATAGCCGGCTCAAAGAGTCGAAGCTCGTGGGGATACCGGAGGGAGCCAACTCGTCTCAAAGAGATAATTAGGATTGGGTAATTCCGAAAAAAGAAAGCCACTGACGTTTTTGTAAATTTAGTAATTTATTATTTTTTGAAAATTTATTTTTATTAATATTATATTAAAAAAATTCCTTCTTGTTTCATTTCTTCTCTGTACATAGAAATATATTGTCCCATATTGACGCTAATTATCAGGTGTATGATACTTCCTTCCAAAAAAAGGGGGGAAATGAAAAATCAAAGGAAAATAGCAAAAAATATTTGCTATGAAAAATCATAAGATAAAAGTTTTTTTATATAGAAAAAAGATGCACTGAATTCGGTGCTAGTATAAAAAAATATCCGAAGCTTACCTGGACCAAATAAGGATATAAGCTATGAATAATATAATTAAATGCATATTTACTTTATTTATTTCTCTCCACGTGCAATTATTTTTGACTTTAATATTTTTATCGTGAATGTAGATAAATTATTTACATTCAGTCTCAAAACGATGTTATTTTGAATTGAAAAATTAAAAATTTATAATAAAAAATTATTATAACCCTGAAATAAATTATAATTGC